GTAATGCGTATGAAGGATTGAACATGTCAGCACACATACTCTCTTAATACCCCAATCAATTTTATCCTTTTCCCTGGTGGGAGGGTGGGGCACAAAAAGTACTGACGAACGCGAGGCCGCACATCAAGTTGAATTGAAGGGCCTTGGAACGTTCCTCCATTCCCACGCTACTGCCTCCACCACACGGTACTCACCTGATTGCTGCACCCTTTGAAAGGCAGGGACGCATTGTTGATGCGTGTGTATCGTCCTATCGGTGGTGTGGGGCAATGTATGGGTCCAGGGCGGGTGCACGGACGTGAACATTCTTACATTCATCCTGCTTCCTAGCGGGCGAGAAAACCCGCACACGCACGGTCCGGGATGAATTCAGCAAGCATCCTACGCGACAATCATTATGACACCATAAGAACCAATAGTTACATGCTGCATCCTACACAAGGAGGCGCGTCATTCCCGGACCCATGCGGCTCTACAACGTCGTGCAATCATGTAAAGTTCGTGTGAATTCAGCACGGGCGGGAGCTCGCACTGGGGCGGACATAACAGTAGTGACGTCACAAAACAAAACCAACAACTAAGCAAAACTCCTGTAGCCGCATCAGCGCATCCCAGGCTAAATGATTGAGAAAAGAGAGAAGAGAGTATAGAAATTATATTCAATGTGCAAAATTTGAATTGTGGGAGCCATGTCTTGAGGTTTTAGACTACGGTAGTCAGGGCGCCTCTCTGCCTGTTGTAGTAGTACGATGGCCCGCGCCCGCGCTTAACACGGCGGCGAAACAACACGAAACAACATTTGACGCCACAAAACAACCACACTAGATTTTCTCCTAGAATTTTTTGGCTTCGCAAATCTGATTGAGTAAATGGAATAGCTGCAAAGGTCATGATATATGAAAAGTGATCGAAACTTGTTGAGGTGTTCAGCCAGTCGGGCTTGTGCAGGACATACATTTAATAATTGATAGCTCAGAAACCGGCCGCCAGTCTAATCTTCGGGATTTAAATTTGCCGCACAACATTGCAATGATACAGGGAGGAAACGGCACGTCATAAATAACAAAAGTGCACTTCGAAGGTGAACTTCTTTTTTTCCTTTAACTGCTCCAAGATGAAATTGAAATTGCTTAAGCGCCCCAGCCCTCCCATCACCGTCTCCATTTAAGTGCTTATTATATTCTAAGTATAAAATCCTTGCTTTAAATCGGTAAAATGATGTCGAAGACTCAAGGTAATACAAAGTCGAGTAAGAGATGTTGAGATGGTTGATACGGTCGCGGAGAGAAAAGTACCTCACTTCACAAAAAACATCACACGTTTCCCTTTTTCTAGTGCTATTATTTGCTCTATGGATTGCCTCAGAACCAAAATACATAATTCCGTAAAGGTTTGTATTCAATCTGAATTGAACGGAGATCCTTTCTCAGCCGCTACATTGAGCAGCATGTGGTTTGCGACACGGAAAGATCAATGTCTCCCCTATGATCGATGCAAAAGAGACAGATTAGGGGAAAGAAATAGTCCTTTGGCGCCGCATTTTCTTTAATGATGCGGATTTGGGGAAGTGAGGCGTCATAACGATTCGAAAACGAGCGGAAAGACAAAAGACCGGTTACATGCTTTCATAGGTGTGAATTGTAATGATCACCCCTCGCCTGTACGAACAAATAGGGTCAAACAGAACTCAGTATCAAATTCTGGATTGAATTCGACCGTCATTTGGCAGCGATTGGACGTGTTTAAAGCTATTCGCCCATTTGATACCTCAATCCTTAAACGCTGTAAACAGACAGGAGAAAACGATATCCTTGTCATAGAAATCTGCGTGATTTAAAACAAAAAGGCGTGTATTGTATCATCACCAGAAATTTATTTGAGAAGAAGTGTAGGATGTGAAAGACAAGTGTCGCTTGCTTGTGTTTCAAGCCAAGCAGGTACATAGTTGAATAAGCCTGTCGGAGAATAAACAACACCCAACACGCGCAATCATGGACATTTAATTCAGAGATTTCCTTTGCGCCTCCCCGTTTGAAAAATTGCGGTAAATTAAGAAAGGAAAAACTTTACAAAGCAAAGAGTATTGAATTTAACCTCCTCCTGAATGCTAGGGTGGTCATAGACAAAAGCCGGTCTTTGAATAAGCCTACGATCTATCCCTCTTCAGAATCTAAATCTTCTATCCTACACCACAAATAATGTCATCAAGCTGAATTCTTTCCCATTATCCACAAGCCACAAAAAAAGAAGAAATTTTCTATTTTGAAAACGACCATTATTTCATGTCGCCTTTCGCGGCTCGGAATCCACAAGAAAGCCGACGAAGCTGCACGTTGAAGACGTTACCAGCCAGGATATGCACCTCAATCAATCCAGCAAGCCAACCCTGTGTACCAGCATGTGCCCTAAGACCTTGTACATAGCCGACCAATTCATCATTGATGGAAAAATTGTCATATCTGTGTTTGCGTCGTTTCAAAGGCGAAACAAAACGTGGCAACAATCTCGATTCGACAACCCCCTCAACAACGAGCAGAGCAATCTTACCTCTCAAGTGGGAAACTGTTTCGTTTGTACCTTCTCCTAATATCATCACACTTAATTCATGTCCTCCTGGTATGGATATCTCACACTCCCATTCACGAATTGGCAACTTTGTATACTTTCTTTGGCATGTTTGTTTACACGCCGACTTTGTGGTAGTAGTGGTTTAAAGCCATCTGCAGCCTTATCCATGCCTGCCATCATCTATTCGATCTCAGCATATGGGTGATGTGACCTCATGAACAACTCTGAGCACAGGTCTTTTCCATAAAAATATGAAGTGCATCGTATTTGCGGGCCTGCTGGCGTCTGCCACTGCTTTTATGGCTCCTGCTCCGCGTGTTTCGGTAAGTCCCCCATCTCCGATCTGATTCTGAGGCCCGGGGCGGGAAGCAGGGAGAAAGTGAGATATAAACGGGAAAATGGCCCATCGAGGCACGAAAATAAGCTGTACGAAGGCGCACTTACACACATTACGCCTCACACAGTCTCGCTCCGCGTTGAGAATGGGACTGGAAGGCCAGGTGGGCTACGACGTCGAGACTGGCGGTAAGCCCTCCCCCTTTCCTCCCTCCCCATCTCCGTCTTCTCCTCCCTCCCTCTTCCCCCATCTCCCCGTCGCTGCTGTGCTCTTCCTTTCCCTTTCATGTCCATCTCGTCCCCGCTTATTCGTCGGGGGTCCTTCTGGCATCAGGCAAACCATGGGACCCGCTGGGCTTCGCCGGGATCTCGGAGCGCAACAACTTGGGCATTAACCCGCACATCAAGTGGCTGCAGGAGTCCGAGGTAGGGCACAAAGGGAAAGGGATTGGTAGGAGGACCAGCACTTACGGAGGAGGGGAGAGGGAGGGATGGAAAGGTGGGAGAGGGAAGAAAAAGGCGGATAAGGGGAAAGGGCGACGGCTCCGTTTGTGGATGCATTCGAGCGCTTGTGCAAGAACACATGCAGCATATATATGTATATATGTATATACATGTAGCATGAACAAGAGAAACTTTAAATATGATTGTATCTTGCAGGATAAAAAGGGAGGGGCATCATTCTTGGGGGGGTAACGTGTCTGTCCTCTATTTCCCTGAACTCTTTTTCCCTGCCCGTCTTGCCTGTCAAAGCAAGCGCTGAGGGTCCCAACATCTTCCTCCCTCCGTCCCTCCCTCCCTCGCTTCCAGATCAAGCACGGACGGACCGCCATGCTGGCCTTCCTCGGAGTGATCGGGGAAGACAGCGAGGCGATGTGGGTCAAGAAGGT